AATAAAAATAATTTTGGATTGAGTATTATGTAGTTGCCAAATTAAATCGTCGTCACTTTAAAATAAATAAACTAAATCATGGTTTTTAAAAGACTAAAAATAACCGATCAAATTAATATAACATGGGTTTTTCAAAATAATGGGACTAAGCTAAGATAATTAGATCGTCATGTATAAAAAGGATTCTATGCAACATACTATGGTGACCAAATGAAATATTAGAGGTATCGTAGCGACGCGACAAGTTAATTAAACCCTTCGATCTTTTGAGTAAAAATTTTCTTTGTAAGAGTTAGAAATTTTCGGTCAATACAATGACAATGCACGAGGTCTCATTCAAATGACTGACTTTTCTTGTTATAAACATTAATCAAATCACAACTTTAAATGTTGATATCACTTGTATCCATAAAGGCCTGGCTTGAAGCCTTTAACTTGACCAAATAAGATGGTGACGGTAGGGCAATAAGTTGTCTTGTCAATCTCATAATACAATATCTGTTTAAGATTTTCTCACTACCTCGTCCTGGGCCGGCTCCTCACATGGAGTCTGCAGATAATAGGGTCGGTCCAACATTTTCTCGCGGGAAAGTGGGTCGTCCGTGCTTAAGGAACATTCCGATTGCACCTCATGTTAGGGTACAGGACGTGGGACCATCTAATCGTCTGCCACATAGGTTGGTTGAAATCACGTAGGAGTCATCGTGTAGAGAGGCATAACAATTTCTTCACTCGAAAGCTGTAGAAAAACAAAAGACTATTAAAGCCATCTCTTGGATATGGCAAGTTTTCTTGCATTGCATTTTTTGGTAGCAGACAGAATCTCGACTCTTCCTTTTTTTTCCTAAAATGTTTCGAGTGTGTGCATGCATATTTGGGAAGTGTTTATAAATATTTTAAATTATAAATAAACAAAAAATAGTGATGAATAAGTGTGGGGTATGGTGACAGGTGGGATGGGTGGAAGAAGATGAATCTTTTTATACTTTTATTTTTCAAAATTTTTTGGATTTTTGATTAGAGAAAATCATTCGATGAAATTGCCCTTCAAATAAAAATAAAATCAGGGAAGGACTATTTACACCAAAATGAAAAGTTGGGACCATTTTTACCACAATTGAAAGATTTGGACCAAAAATGCAATTTGAGCAAAGGTTTAGATCATTTGCACCAATTTCCTTGTTTTTATAAGAGTCGGTTCGAGTTCATAATAGATCTAGACCGGATCTCGATGCAGGGGTGGATTGGTTCGACCCAATCAATAAACCCGTTTAACCCATTGCCTACCTATACTTGAAACTTTCTATGACGTGAATACGAGCTAAACGAACGCATTTGTTACCCTCTGGTCTCCCAGTTCCTCTACAGTTTATCACCTGCATCGACGACAGGTAATTGCCCTTGCACATTGTTGTTTCCTCTGATCACAAGATAATTCTCTCGAGAAATTTCTTGCATTTTGAATTAGTAGATTGTGATACCGGATACGGAGGGATTATGCTGTGGGTGTCTATAACCTGTTTGTTGAAATGCCCAAGTGATTGGTTGAAGTTTGTTGTTCTTTTTACCTTTTACTTTTTCGATTGGGCTACTAGAACTGTTAATAAACGGGTTGTTGCAATTCAGAATCCGTGAAGAAATTTTGTGGGGTTAAGTGAAATGGCGAGCTATCTTTGGAGGAAATACGCGGATTATTTGCACACAAAGTGGGAAAAGACGATTCTTTGGGACATGATTGA